ACGCTATAAACAAATATATTTGTATATATATATATATATATATATATATATATATATATATATATATATATATATATTAAACCAACATTTTGAATTATGAAGCCTTTATGAAGTATTCATTTACGTTTTAAATATGAAATGGTTAATATGATAATGAGGCCTTCGGCGAACTTTAACTTTGTCAATGAAGAGCATGAAAATAACGAAAAGGATGAAAAAAAATGTAATGTAAATTAGTTTGTAAATAATAGAAGGTGAAAGCAAAGGAAGAGTTAATAATATTGTTTTGAAAAGCGTGATACTCCATATGATATGTCCGCACCTTGGAAACATAATGAGCTCTAACATCTAAGCTTGGCCCTTGTATTTATTAAAAATCGTATGCCTACGCTTTAACGACAAATGGAAGGGCGCCGAGAGTTTGCTTTCGCAGGGTGAATCCTGTAAAAGTCCAGCTGCAAATGGCGAGTCGCGCGCATCCGTGGGCCTAAGCAACTGGCGCGAAGCTTAATCATTATAAAAATGGCTTTGCAGAGCTCGAGTCAGATGGAGCCTTCACAGGTGAAATCGTCGATCGGGGGCGGCTCGTCCCTGGCCACCGCGAGTGGCAGCTCCAGCAGCGGCGCTGGCGGCGGTGGCGGCGGCAATAGCAGCAGCAATGGGGCCGGGGTAGGGGGCGTCAATACCAGCGGCGGCGGCGCCAATGCCAACAACAGCAACAGCAACAACTCGTCGTCGTCGTCGTCGTCATCGTCGTCGTCGGCCGACGGGGGCGACGTGTACGAGTTCAAGAGCTCGAAGGAAGCTACGCCCGTTAGAGGCTCGAGCTCCTCGCCCAATCCTAATCCCGAAAAGGACAATAAGGATGGCGCGTCCGCGGCGTTATCGGCTTCCTCCGCTAATAGCCAGGGGAGCGGAGTTGGTGCCGCCGGGGTTGTCGGTAGCGCTGGACCGGCAGGTACGACGGGGGTCTGGGAGTCATTGTCATTTCTTTTTCTTGTTGCTGACTCGAAGGAATTCCTTGACTACGACGTGGATATTATTTTATTGATAGATGCGCGAGTCGATTTGCTACGGCAATTAACACGAAGCATGAAAAGATCACGATGCGCGTAAAAAGTCGCGGAGTTCATTGGCCTCCACAATCGATATGCCAAGAAGTACGCTTACAACGACTAATGCAAAAATATGTAAAAGCTCCATGTGAAATTTATGGTATTGTTGCAATAGCTTTCGATAAACGAAAAGAAAAATCCGATTCATCTATAATTACTCTATGGGCATCGGAGAATGTAGCAAAAACTCGGTGAAATTTACAATTTTTTTCTTTTTAACTTTTTAAGCTTTTAAACGATTATGAACTTTCACCAAAGCCAAAATCGTGAAATTATCAAAATATTCTCGCGGAGCTAGAATTTTGTAAATCTACTGTTTATTTTTATAGTATTTCGCATTGTCGTTTACGTTTGAAGACCTTTTTTTAAAACCTTATCGTAATTGCAACAATTTTGTCCAATTAATGTATCCAAAAATCATTCTGACTATATATATATATATATATATACATTACATATATACATATGTACATATATATATCTATATATATATACATATATATATATATATATATATACATATATATTGTATGCCAAAATGTATACATGATTTAGGAGATGAACCTATTAAACTAATTTGCAATAGGTTTCTTCTATTAAAAAAAAAAGTTATTATTATTGTATTTTATATTTAAACGCATAACTTTGTAGGTCTTAAATAAGTATATCTTCTGTTATTAAGTTGAAACGAAGAAATCGTGCATATACTCGACGATTAAATTCTAATTTACGATTTACAATTTAATCATTAGCAGCACATTGAAACTATGCTCATAAAAATATTATATTTATTTATTACTAAAGTATATGCGTGCTTATACAATGATTTGCTATTTGAATATCATTGCAAATTGCTATTTTAGATTCGCGAAAGAAACAAAAATAAATCTTTACTATGATATTGCGAGGGTGAATAACGTTTTATCGAAAATATAAGTTTTATCACAAATACGTAAGCGAGTTTAATTAAGCCAATTATTAAAGGTTAAAATTTCACGAGCGAACATTCAATAAATAGCGGATAAAATGATAATATGTCGGGAATGTGCCTTACGGAAACTATACGAATAATTTATATAATGCATATTAATCCACGTAGCTTATTAGATTTAGCAGTTTGTAAAATATAGAGAGCAATAATCAACGTAGGGATTACAAAGCATTAAAAATAATTAAATTAAGGGTATTTATAGGCAATATTTGACATTTTTTAATACGTCGTCTCATTCAATGCCGTATTGTATGTGCTTTTAATGACGTTGCCAACATAATACGTTGATCTAGCATTATATTATTACACGTGACTTCATTTATTATTACTTCAGCGATCATTTGACGACGCACGTTTTCATGAATATTCAATCATTGTCCAATAGTAACCAATTACTGTTCGTCTTGCACAGGACGGCAATAGCAATTATTTCATATGAATTAATTCACTAAAAGCGACACTCACGAACGGCCCCTAATAACATATTCGTTATCGCTAATTGTGCCTCCTCTTCTCTGTCTTCTTCTTACTTTTAGCTTCTACCGTTGAATTTATTATTTGCGATGCGTGTGTTTATTTAATTTTCTACTTATACGCAGCCGAATTGCAATCTAAAGCAAAATAAACACTTTACTCGCATCGTCAATTAAATCGCCAAACGAAAATATCCAACTGCCAAGGACAAACATAACGTTAAAAATGGTAATAAATACTTTCTCACGCAGATTCATTGTACTGTAGGAAAATAACATCACGAACTCCCCAACGAAAATACGTTTAATCATCGCGCAATTAATTCATCGTTGACGTAACATTTATCTCACGAGCAACACAATAACATAGGTGTATCCGGTAACGTAGGCCCAAATATAACGAGCTCGTCGGTGGCCTCGTCGACGATAAGCGGAGGCCCCGGGATCGGCACGTCGTCCAGTTCCGGGTCGGCGGGCGCGGGGGGCGGTTCCGCAGCCGAGGCCCTTGCATCCTCGGTGTCGAGTGCCATGCCCGATGAGCCAATGATCACCACAACCTCACCCGCCGTCTCCGTCACCGCGAGCTCCGCGACGAAACGAGCATTCGACAGCGAGAGCGCCCAGGCAGACGAGCAAGACGAGGAAGGCCGCAAGAGGAAGAAGAAGGATACGGAGCCTGGAAAGGATACGGCTGGTGGTGTCAAGGCTGCTGCCAGCTGTAGGCAAGCCGCGAGCAGAAGTAGCGCTGCCATTGCCGAAAAAGTAAGTGACCGGGTGCTTCGAGGTTTCTCGTACTACGGAGCGAAGCTATGCTATGTAGGTGGGGATGACAAGTCTCGAACGATTCCATTGGAATGCAAATGTTGGAACGTAGTTGGTAGAATAAAAGAAACGCTCAAAATAATAATCCCTATGAATTATTATCGTTAACGATTTCCTCCCACGAGGAGATGTCTCCTTTCGGGGATGTTTATTTAATTTGCCATTTACAATCACCATTTACGCATCAGCGACAATAATACGTACGATTCGAGACTATCGTATCCGCATGGGCTTTGTCGCGCCAATTAAAATCAAGTAATTAATTGTCACTTTCAGAGCAATTTTCAATATATTTAAAAATATATATTTTAATTTTCAAATTTCAACAAATTCACCTTTTATATGTTGTAGAATTATAGTGGATCACTACCGTTTCTTTCTTTCTTTATTTCTTTGTTTTGTTTTTTCGGCTTTTGATGGAAAGATCACGGTCGAATGCGAGAACTACGCGACGAAATAACACATTATGTATCGTACGAGTAATTCGTCGCTTTCAATTGTCAACAGTGTACCAAGTCAGGGAAGCAAGCAGCCGGAGCGATGTCGGCGAAAGGCGGCCAGAATAGCAGTTCCGTGAATACCGACCGCAAGAGCCCAAGCGCGACCTTGAGTGCGAATAGCCCGAAGCCCTCCAACTCCTCCGCGGGCTCGACCGCGAATAATCCCAAGGGAGGCACGCCGTCGAACGCGGAGTCCGACGGTGAGGACGAGCGCTCCAAGAATTCGGACTGTAACTCGGCGCCGAAAGTGCCGCCCCTTAAAATCGTCATACCCCAAAGCACGACGTCCGAGCAAGAGCAGGGCAACCGCAACGGGAAGAGCACCTGCAATCGTGGCCACCAGCTGCCTTACGTCGTCGCGAGCTCGAACAGCAACGACTCGATGGACAAGGAGCAGGGCGCCTCCGCGGCGGCGAGCGGCACCACGAGCCCATTGGAGAACAGCGTAACGACGTCGAAGAGCGACGAGAAGAAGGACTTTAGCGGTGCCCTGGATAACGAGTCTCGTTCGACGCACCATCAGCGCGTCCTCAGAAGCTCCCACCGCTCGGGCAACGGGGCGAACAACGGTGCCACGGCCAGCCGCGAGGCCTCGAGCAGCCTATCCGGGAACGGTAGCTACGCCAACTCGTCGCCCTTACCGGCTAACGCCGCGGATCGGTCCAACAATTCCTCCCCACAGCAGAGGCATCACTCGCCAACGCCGGAATCGAGCGGCGTGTCCGAGGCCGGCAAGTCCGCCTCGATGGATTCACCCGCCCAAAGCAGTCCGGCGATCAAGTCGAGCAACGCCGCGGATAAGTGCGAGAAGAGCGGCGAGGTGAAGAAAGAGGTCGGCGACACGTCGGACGGTAGCGCGAAGAAGGACAGCGGCGGCGAGACGCCCAACTCGTCCGCTCAAGCGCCCGTCGAGCTGCACCCGAGGAAACGGAAGATGAAAACTAGCAAGGAAGCTCAGCAGGCCGCGGCGACGGCCGCTGCCAACGAAACACCCGAGGCTACGAGTACTGGACCAGAGATTCATCCGCACGACCAGCCCATCACGAATTGTTATCAATTATTCTTGAACATAAGGAAACAAGTGAGTAAGCTGCTTGCTCGTCGTTTTCTCGAATAAGTGGCGCACGATCGTCGGGGCTGCTGTTTAATATATTCGAAAATTATTGTCAAGATCGTTTGAGAGCCGTTTCGCTGTGTTTCCGTGTTGGCCATTTAATTCGCTGGTAATTTGGAAAAATTTCGATTCTCCCGTCACGGACTCGCGATAAATTATCCCAATACACAATGAATTGATTCGCGCGTTTTTAACTAAATTATTCCTTCCAAGTCACCAAGGAAGTTAATTAATGTGTTTTATTTGGCCTTGTCCAATGATTGTCCGCAGATCGAGCGAAGGCGGAAGGGTTTGTTCCCAGTTCAGCCGAAGCCACCACAGGGTTTCAAAGATTATCTAATGAACCGCTGCACCTACGTTTTAGCTGGTAACGCTAATAAAGAGCCGAATATCAATCCGCCAGTTAATCTGTTAACTCCGATGAAGGATTTGTACGTGGATCAAGAAAAGGAACGATATAGATTAAGAATGCAGCACGTTGTGGAAAAGGAAAAACTAGTCTTGTCGGTGGAGCAGGAAATTCTTAGAGTACACGGTAGAGCTGCTAGAGCTCTCGCCAATCAATCGCTTCCATTTTCAGTTTGCACGATTCTTAAAGACGAGGAGGTTTATAACGTTATAACACCTGAGCAGGAGGAGAAGGACAGAAATGCGAGAAGTCGATATAACGGCCGACTATTTTTAAGTTGGTTACAAGACGTCGATGATAAGTGGGAAAAAATTAAGGTTTGTATTCATTGGATTATTGTGGCATTCGTCGTCGTACGTTCGCTGCACGTAAAAAAAAAAACTGTTTAAAAATAATCATTATAATAAGCATTGGATATTATTCCATGGTAGTTTTAACACTTGAACTGTGATAATTAGGCAAAGCGATGTAATTTCAATGCAAATCGTTGCGTTACATTGAAATGTATGATTAGAGTTATAGGGAGAGCGTATCGATGCTAATTTCTCAAATTTCTCAATGCGATTACGTGAATATATCCCATCCCATTTCGAGTTTAATTTATATAAATTAACTGAATTAGCTCTTGTACACTGGAATGTCGGAATTACAAAGAAATTCTAGGCAATCGGATAACGATGTATGCTAAATAATCGAACGATTTGTTGCTTCGAGTCTTCACGAATGTATTGTCAATTTCTTTTTTAAATGGTGAATAGCTGCGCGTGCGTGAGCAATTTGAATTCTAATATTATCTGCAATATTAGAAACTCCAATCAATAAAGTCCATGCTTACTCAAACGAATGTTTCAAATATTTTTAAAAATCAGATAATTCTATTTACATTCTATTTATTATTTAAAATGTCGTGTGTTGTTGATTTATAATTTTCGCCGATATAGTTGTTACATTACAATGTATTAACACGTTTGTGCAGAAATTAAATACAGATTAGTTAATAGATATTCAATTTTTCCAAGAAATCAATAAATTAATATTTCAGATGTACAAATATTCTTATATTTAAATATTCAAATTTAAAGCTATCATTGGCTAATTTTGTATTTTAGGAAGCGATGTTATTGAGACATCACAATGAAGCAGAATCGTTACACGCCGTTCAACGCATGGATTGGGAATGGAAATTGAAAGAAGTCGGACTTTGCGAATTCAAAGTTACCCCACAAATAGAAGATCTTCATGTACCAATGGTACACGTGTCCGATGACTTTGATCTTTTGCCAGCTTAAAATTTTTGGACTGAATTTGTATCTTGATATCCCTTTTGCATTATATCTGATTAACATGTTATCTGTGATCTTTCCCTGTATGATGTTGTATAACGTATGTTGTATGCCTGTATAGCGATAAACCATCAAGCACAATGTTGCATTTTGTCAAAATCATGTCAAAACGACTGAAGATCATGGTTAATCATATTTTTTTACGCCACATATTATCAAACCGTAATAACAATAATAATAATAATAATAATAATAATAATAATAATAACGATAATGATAATAATGATAATAATACCTGATGTGATTGACCGATCGACCTATTATTAATTATGAACTATTAATTATTGTCAGTAGTCGAGAAATTGTTAACGAAACAGGTTTCCTATATAATATTTAAAATTATCATTTTCCATTAAAACAGCAGTAAATTTTACAACTAACCTGCACAAAAAAATTCTGTACAATGTATATATTTTGTAATTAGAGTACCTTGCAAGGTTAATTGAAATATAAAATGAGCCACGTGGTGAATGTACAGTTACAATAAAATGAATACCAATAGAAATATTTATTCTTTTTTATCATGATTATCATCCATTAGCTTGAAGGGCTTGTCGTATCCCATAATTTTTATATAATGATTTTGATCTAGAAATTGGTTCGCGTCGATAAATACATTGGCTTGCTTAATGGCGCAAGTTGTAAATATTCCAAGAACAGTCGGTATGGTTATGTCGGCTGGAGTAAATTCAATCTGAAATTTGAAGTTACGTTAGTTTAGCTATGTAGAATGTTAAGACATCATTTTCTTCTTAATTAAATTTCTATAATGTAGACTTAAAAGCTTATACCTTCCGTTTCATTGCAAAAAAGTTATAAACTGTAGCGATGTATTTATCATTTTTGGGAATATAATCGATATTTACAATATAGGTTTTGGTAATTAAATGAAGTAATATGGGTGACCCAAATGTAAATATGCACAATATACCGCATATGGATAATGATACGGATGGTGCCGTTGTCCCAGAAAGTACTTTTACATATATAAATGGCTGAGATACTATTCCAAGTAACGAGGTGAACAACGATAAACACTTAATGTTACGAATATGTTGAGCTAATGTTGCCTTATAAATAGTTTGCCTTTCATCGCTTTCCATGGATTTTACATTCTTTGATATGGGATTTATATTAGTCGCAGTTGAATTATTCCTTCGTATAATCGACGACAAAGGCACTAATGTCTGGGAAGGAAACACAAATTACAAATTACAAATTGTAAGACAATCAAAATTCAATAATTATATTTATGTAATGCATTAACTTTGTGCCTAATGTTATCAGTGAACGTCGATGGTACATTGAATGCAATCCTCAAAATATTTGAGCTCGATGAACATGAATAAAATCTTTTCTTCGTTAAAATTACTCGAAAAATCAACGACATCGCATTTAAATTTGATATCTCTATCAGTTCTAGTTGAAATTGAGGTTAACTCCCAATTCAATACGGATTATTGAAGCTGTTGATGGCTGAAAAACGAAACTAGAGTTATTTAAATAATACATATGCATAATAAATGAGTGATGAATCCATTATGAGTAATCGAGGGCTAAAAATTTACTTGAAAGTTGATAGTTGGAATCGTAGCTGCAGAATTCTTTTACCACCACACTATTTCGGCCTAATATCGGCGATCGAACAACAACACAAGTTCAAAACATTTTCAGACAAAGTAGTGATGTATTTTATCGTACAAATATTAAATAAATTATAACGTAAGTATGCAAAATTGTATTTTTCCAAAAATTTATAAAAGGTAAAGCTTAACATTTGAAATGAGAAAAGGTATTTATTATACACGACAGTCAGCCCCGTGCACACATTTATGCGCGTGCACAACATGTCACACACACGCGCGCGCTTGGCGAATGGAAGCGTGAAAACGTAAACGTAAACACACACATGCACATGGTGTATTTCTATAGGCACTATTAACAATCGTATTAATGAAATTTATAAATTCAATATGGACTTGATGGAAGGAGGAGGTACGTAATAAAATCACTATACCAGAGTTTAAAGTAAAAAAAAGTAGAATAATTTATGCATGTAAAAACGTAGCAACGTAACGACCAACAGAATATTAAAATCAAAGCTTTGTATTTTCGTTTCTAAGAAAACTAAATAATCGGCACTTTAAAGTTTATGTAAAACAAATTAAAAACTTACATCTACGTATAACGAGAGAAAAGAATTTCATGAAAAAATACGTTTTTTGTTTTCTCCAAGCAAAACGCGTTTTCAATTTTTTCAATTTCATTCCATTTTTCGAAAATAAATGATTAACTATTCAATTACATGTCAGTATATTGAAACAAATTGCGAGCATATAATAATTACAGAGTCGATAAAAAAAAAATGACTTTGAAATATATAAGAAAACAATTAAGAACGATGACAAAAGAAAAAACAGAATTCTTTCGTAAGACGCATTACGAAAGATTATTTATTAATAATAGTGATAATAATTAATTAATTAATAATAATAATAATTGTAATTATAATAGTAGTAGTGGTACTAGTAGCAGCAACAGCAACGATACAACAATAATCGACCTGTAATGGAGATTAATAATAGCAGACTAGTAATAGAAAAGTAAGTAAAGTAGGATTTGGGATTGGAAATTTGGTGGTAAATTAAAATGACATTAATAAGTAAGGGATTGCAGCGTAAAAAAAAAAAAAATGTAGACCAACGATCTTGCACATTAGAATGCAATTGCTGTTAGGATTTTTATTGCTCTTGCCATAACTTATATGGCATTAACGATAATAGGCTTCTCAAGCTAATTAGTGCAAGATAACTTCCGAAGCGTATGGAATTACTCAATAATAGCGAGTGATGATCAATTAATGTGCACGAAACGATGAAAAGTCGGTGGAATTTTATTAATTCGAGCTCGACCAATGCCAATTGACCAGCCGCTCGTTACGCGCTTCATTCGCGTATGTCGAGAGCCATGATGCACCGCTCGTATGCGCCGCCACCAACAATTGCAATGACTAATTGAGTGCAATAAAGTGTGGGGGGGGGGGGGGGGGCGGAAGGAGCGCG